TCAGCAAGTTAATGCCAAGAGAGGGAGGGAAGAACGGAGGGATTATGAATTGAGCAAACCAATTATAAAAAGCCATTTTGGACAGACTCAGAGAAACATGAGTGTAGCCTGTGTACTCAATGACATTAAGAAAGTACTATTAAATTTGTAAGGTGTGGTTTGTTTTGTGGTTTAGAAAAATATCCTTATTGTTTTGTAGGCAAAACAGAATGATACTCCAGTTATAAGACGCAAAAGCACAATCTAAAAAATATGACAAATTATTAATGTTTTTTGATGATAGATGATGGTTATATGAGGATTTGTTACATCATTACTTTGAAATGTTTCATCATAAAGAGTAAAAAAAAAAAAAATCATTTAAAAAAGAGTATCCTAGAATATCCTGTGATCTATCTCCCTCCATACCTCCACCTTCCAATACACTCCCTTTGAAAAAAAGTAATCCAAGAAAGAGAAAGAAATTTTGCAAGGTTGCTCCAAAAGTTCTTGAAAGACCTCAGATTATAACCCAGATGTGCACATCTTCTTCCACAGTGGTCTGACCTTATAATGCAGACAGAAACCCAATCATTGAGAGCTGATTTTTTATTTTAGGGGCAACGAGGATGCAAATGTAGGGAGTAAGTTTGGGTTTTAGTGGCCACGACTTAACTATCAACATGGAAACCCAACTTCACTGCACAGAAGAGACTGCATACTGAGTGACTGCCTGCAAAACTGAGAGTTTGCACACATCATTGACCCTCCTCACAGCAACCCAACATGCTGTTGTGTTGTTTTCCCCATAATTTAGATGTAGGAGCTGATACAAAGAGAGTTATTAATCTTCCCAAAAGCTAACGGCTAGTGAATTGGTGAAGCAGAAGTCCCAGCCCAAGTCACCCGGCTCCAAGGTTGGCATTCTGTTCTCTGGTGTAGCAGAGAGCCACAGAGCACAATTTCTATGACTAATGTGTGCCTGGCAGCTGCTGCTCATCAATGGGGGCCCGTTGGTCAGTGCACCAGACAAATGACTCTAAGGATACAGCTCATTGGTGCAACCCTCCCAGACCAGCTCTTTACACCTGCATGGAAGATTGTTGTGTCGTGAGGGACCCAGACTCCTGTAGGTTAGTGCAAACCCAACTATCCTCATGCCTGAGCGAGAAGAACAAGCCTTGGTGTCTACGGACAGGAGATGAAAAACTAGATCTTCAGAAACAAAAGGAAAGAGTTTAATTATCCCCTCCCCCACAAATTAATAGCAAAACTCGGGCCCTAGAGAGGGGAACAACGTGCCCAGAGCTGTGTATGAAATCAGTGCAGGACAGGCCAATGCCATTCACAGTTCCCTACATGTCAGCAACTCATTTGTGGATGACAGCAGGCAGGCAAGCAACCTCGAGGCTTCCCGGGAGGATCTGGAGAAATATATTGCAGAATTCCGAAGGCCTGCCACAGCAAACTGGGCGAGGTTGACTGGAACTCGAGTTATCACTATGGCTGAGCCCACAGCCCGGGAGGAGAGAAAACCTGCACACCACTCATAGAAAACTTGAAGACAGAACACAGATTTTCTTCTAGAGGCCTCCACCATCGAGGTCCCTCTGAGGAGGGGTCCAAAGGCTGTGTGCTGGCCCTGCTCTATAGCTTCTCTGGCAGGTTGTCCTAGATGGGGAGAACAGGGGAGGCGCCAGGCCAGGCATCGTGCAGGAGGAGAGTGCTTTACGGGTGGTGTCTTATTTCACTCTTGTAAAAACCGCATGTAGAAACTGAAACCAAGGCTGAGAGGTCATGAGTTGAGCTTGGTCACATACTGGCTGGGCTGGGATCTCACCCCTTGTTATGTCCAAAGTCTGTGCTTTTCCTCTGCAGTGAATTACCAGGAGCCAAGTTACAGCAAGGGAAGCTGAGAGAGGATCACCTCTCTCTTCAAACATCACATGGATGGCTTTTACCAAAATAAAGTCCCAGTAACTCTCCAATTACTATACTTGCCACCCTGCTCATCGGGAAAAAGATTTCATTGAGCAAGCCAAACAGCAGCCAGCGACACAGTGAAATAGAAATATTTTCAAAAGTGGTCCATAAACAAGACATATCCTTTTCCTGCCTCTCCTTCAGTCACATACTGTCCATAAAAGACTCTCAGCTCTCCTTCTCTGTGAAGCCCCTACATTTCCAGCTGAAAATTCTCCATGTCACCAAACGACACAGCTGCTGCCTGGTGTAAACTATGTCTGTCTGTTGCCTGAGAAAGAAAAGAAGCTGAGGTGACACTGACTCAGTTTCTTCACAGGTTCTATTTCATTTACAAATAATAATAAAGGATAGGGCAGTAACTTCTGTGATTAACAACAACTAGAGCTAGTTCTGAAGTGTGTTAGAAGAAAATTAATTTTGCGCAATGATCATTACATGAGTCATGCTTCATTTAACGAAATGACATGACACGAAAGGGGGAGAAAGATAAAGGTGTGCTAAATTGTCTCAGTACATTTGGGGATCAATAAATTACTTTTAACAATGCATACATATGATGTTCAAAGTGCTTTTGAATAAACCCCATGGATATCCTGAGGCTTTTCAATAAGAAGGACGCGAGGGTCACACAGAGGCTGGGAGAGGTACAAGCCCGCAGGTGCTGGTGCTCTGGATGGGAGGTGAACTTCGGCCTTGGTGTTCCTAACAGGGAGTTAGGGAAAGCTGTAGGTCCCGACACTGTCACCATCTGATAGAGGGCGATGCAGAGATTCCTTAAGAGGAAGTAACATTTTTCTGGTGTTTCATTCTACAGAGGGAGAATTATCTAGGTGACCTTCTGCAAGGACATTAGCTTTACAACAAAGGCAAGAGCCGTTTTCAGATGTTTGCAGGATGCTCCCTGAAGACAGACCAGGTGCTCACATTGGACTAAGAGTCTCTGAGGGTGGTTCTGAGGCAAAGGTTACAGGATCCCATATGCAGCTTCCTGAGCTCTGAATCCTGCAGGAATGCTGGCGAATGCTGTGCTTGAGGCCGCACATGGGGACGGCCCTTCCTCATCTCTCTTCCCTCAGCCTCACTTGCCAGCTGGGTTGTGGCAGGCCCTGCAGGAGCCACACTCTCTGCAACTTAAAACTCCGTGTCCATGCAGCTCTGGGCGCCACAGGGCCAGGTGGCAGGCTGATGTGCTGCTGGCAGACCCATCTTTCCACCTAAGTCTGCTAGGGCTACCATAAGAAGGCACCACAAACTGGGTGGCTTCAGCAAAAGAAATGTACTGTCTTGCAGTCTTGGAGGCCAAAAGTCTAGGATGGAGACGTCGTAGGGCCGTGTTCCATTTGAAGGTGCTCTTAAGAAGATCCATTCCTGGCCTCTCTCCTGCCTTCTGGTGAGTCACTGGCCCTGCCTGGGATTCTGTTATTTGGTCTGAGGTGGGCCTGAGCATTTTTCCAGATGATTCTATTCTTATCCTGAGGTTTAGACCAGTCAGGATACACCCAGTATGACTTTGCCCTGAGATGGGACGAGAAGGAGCAAATCCCAGAACAAATCTGAGCCAACAAGGGGTAAGAAACAGGTTCTTGCTGTGTGTGGTTTTCTTATCTTCGAAATGGAAAGAAGAATCGAGATCCCAATTTTCCCACAAGGACATGGGGCCAGTGCAGTCAAATGTGTTTGTGAATTTAAAGGACAGCAAAATATTTAGTCCTACCTTGGCACAACCGCAGTGGACAGCGTCCTGGGGCCATACTGCAAACCTCCCTCTGCTGTGCTTCCTCGCCTGCCCCCACTGCTCTTAGGAAGTCCAACCCTGCCCTCTGCCCCACCTTCTCCCCCAGGGCATCAGAGACCATTAGCACCAGTACAGTTGTAAACAAATTGTTTTAAATTGATAAATTGAATATGGGGGTTGGTGGGATTGGTCTAAAAATAACCAAGTGTAATTATTTTTAAGAGTTTTTTTCTGGAAACCATAATAAACTCTGGTTTTGTGTTTGTCTAGTTAATACAGTTTCTGTTGAAACTACTTAAATATTTAAAACATATGATTTGTATTGGCTATAAACATGTGCATGTGAAATAGTAAAGGGATGGGTCTGTCTTGCCACTCCTCTAGGAGAAACGTCTGTGGTTCATTATAAGGCATTGCTTAATTCTTAAGTCTCTGCAGCAGTGCTGTTTTCCCTAAGCAGGTATGAAAGGCTGGTTAGGAGTTCCAGTTTCTGCTGCTAAGTTTTTGTTGAAAGCTTCCCAGTCTTCCGCCCTTGACCTCATCCCCTGGAGTATCGCTGTAATACTGCCCTCCTGCCCCATCCTGGCCCAACCACCTCTTTGAGATCAGTTACCTTGGGTCTCGGTGGTGAAAGTAAATTATGAGTATATAGCATATGGAATCATCCTAGGCGTGCACTATTTTATGGAGAGTAAAAGACTTGGCAGAAGAGAAACACACATAGGTCTGCCCCAGTTAAAGCTTAAAAATCTATAAGTTGACACTAATCAATTAACAATAGGGTCTCTACTCCAAGAGATCAAGTAAAAATATGCTGTGGATCCTGTGATTGGTGCTTTTTCTAAACCAATGTCTGGGGAGGTCTTAGAAGGCTGTCGGGGGACTAACTCCAAGTCATTCCCTAAGACACTTTCGGCTAAAACTGGCCTGTTACAATGGCAGATGAAAGAGAAGTTGACCTCTGGTGGAGAAGGTGTCTGTGGTTGGGGAGTCACTGTTGATACAGATTAAGTGTGAGGGAATCACTTCCATCTTCGCATGAATCGAGTATGTTCTGATGAATAAATGAAAAGCGATAGGACATATTGGAGTATATGAGGAAGCCATCTGGTTTAAAACTAATTCAGCCTGACCTTGTTTTCCTAAAAGAGCCTGATGTGGCCTGTTGAGCATGCATTGTACATCTGCTTTAAACATTTACTATGTCCCAAAGCCAAGAATCATGCCCTTAAAGATAGGGATGTAGCTTCCCCCCCATATTGGCATTTCCTCAAGGATAAGCATCTCTTCCTAGAAACTAAGGATTAATTACTGACGTGCTCTGCTTGCCACATGACCACTGACCTTCCGTGCCAGGTAAGCATCTTGTGACAGTAGTAAGAAAGATATTCCTGTCATATGTGACAGATGTTCTCTGTACCAAGACTGTGTATAACCACTCTGTATACCCCACTTCTTGAGTGTGCTTGCCTTCCTGGGGGAAAGGAAACCCCCCGGGCTATAGTCCTTAGACCTGGCTCATAATAAACTCAAGCCAATTTTGATTTATAGATTGATTATGGATTATTTGTGTTGACATTTCTGTTCCCAAACCAAAGTGTTTTCTAGACCTGTGTTTCTCACTTTTGTTGAGTAATAGAATTACTTGCAGAGCTTTTAAAACATGCTGTGGCCTGGGCCCCATCTGAGACTATACAGTCAAAATCGTTGGAGTGCTCTGGAAGCACTCTTAGAAGCAGGGGCCTACAGAATGGTAGGGGATGTGGAGAACGCAGTCAGAGGGAAACCAGAGCAGGGATGGCCTTGCCCAGCCTCTGGGCCTGACTGGGAGAGCTGCGGGGCCCTGCTGAAAGGCACAGCTATTCACGAAAATCTCTTCCCAGGCATCAAGCCTTGTTCTAAGAACTGAGTGTTAAATCACACAACACCCCCACCAATAAGGAGGAGACAGGGGTGTCCAGCTTGAACGTCAAGAGCAGGGACCCACCGCATGCACTGGATACCACTTTAAAAGCACCAAACACTCACATTTTCACTTCCACCAAGTGCAGAAGCAAAGACTGGATCATGAGATTCTTGATACCAAGGCGTGGGACGTGAGCGGCCTGGGGCTCAGATGATCGGCAAAATCTCCAGTAAAACAGGGTCTACAACTAGAGGGTGGTGTCTCCTGGTTAAGTGGCCACGAGCTTCCCTAGAGGGAGAAATGGAAACTTGTCAGATTCCTACGCATTATCTGTCATTTTGTGTAAGCATTGACGTTTATATCAACAGCACGTGGCACACAGCGTACGTCCTTGTGAGCCCAGAAAGTGGATTCAATCACTCTCAGCTAAGACTTTTGTCCTCGTCACCCTGTCGCAGTCCCAGAACTGTCTGGGCCTTGTTGTGTGGCTACAAGGAGAGCCAGGCAGTCCTGACTCAGACAGACCCAGCAGTGGGAAACTGCATCTCTAAGAGAACTCGGCACCCACATGGCTTTGTCTTGTCTGAGTTAGCTACACCTTACACTGCCTCACACCCCCCAGACCACTGTGGATGTGCAAGCACACAAATACACAGGCACATGTACACCACACAGACACACACCCCTACACACCACACACACTAACATACACGCATATCACACACACACTCTAACATACATGCAACACACACCACACTCACACCACAGCCCCACACATATGTAAAACAGCAGTTCTCGATTTGATTATGTGAGCTGCCCTCAAGTAGTGGCATTTAGGAGTCTGACAGGGTATGCAATCATCATTTACATTCTCTGGGATATCATGCAGATCCTTTCTACCTGGCTAAAATCTCTGACCTGGACCTGGGCTGGTCTTTGTTCCATCTCATCCACAAAGTAGGCTTGCCAGATAAAACACAGCACAAGGACATCCAGTGACATTTGAATTTCAGACAAGAGCAACAATAACAAAATTAGTATAAGTATGTCCCAAATACTGCAAGGGACATACTTACGCTAAAAATTATTTGTTCTTGATCTGAAATTCAAATCTAGCTGGGAATTCTGCATTTTTATTTGCTAAATATGACAATCTTACCTGGAAGGGTGGTGATTTCTGTGGCTGGGCCCTACTCTCTGGGTTTAGAACACTAGTGCATCAAATGTGATGGAGATGTCCAAGGTGGTAAAGGTTTGAAGCTCTCTGGGACTACTTGGTGCCCTCCGAATTATGGGCCAAGTTAAAGATAATTAAAAACAGATGTGCCCCCGACTGTGACACTACTTGCTTGTAATTACTGTGATCCTTAAAGACTCTTTATTGAGCCTCAAATTGAAGTCTAGTGAACAATTGCCAAAAAATGTGGAGTTTCCCACACTACATGTCACAAGAAAAACTACTTACATGCTGAGTCTCCCAGGCCTGTCCCTGTGCCTACAACATCCTGCAATTAGATGACATAGTCGGCTGCTGTATTTATCTTAAGGAGTTTATAACCTCTTGGAGGAAATTATAAACTTCCTTTTTGTTCAGAGTCTTACTTGGTATAAGCAAAAACATAGATGTCTTGGTTTATACAGAAGAGAAAACTGCCTTTCTAGAAGCTTTATAACTGTAGTTACATCCTGACAGCACTCCTTATTTATGTAGAAAGTAGTTACAAAAACAACTTTACAACATGCCCACATATCTCAGACTCATACTTTGAAAATAGCAATACTTGCTGAATTCATTATACTCCATATTCCCAGAAAACGTTGAGATAAGATTGCTTTAATTCTAATGCAATAGGGCCATTCTTGTCTATTTCTCATTTTTATTCTTTTTTTATTTTCTAGTCTCTATTCTATTTGCCATTCTCTGGAACATATTGATTTAAGTCGTCTGTCCAATACCATCGTTTCAATTACCATTTCCACTGTACGTGATTTTTATATTCTAATAATGAATGGTAACATATTCAGTGACCATTTCGGGCCAGGCATTGTGTCAGGTGCTTGGATGCAGTCTTCATTCGATTCTCATAAGAGTTCCATAGTTCTATCAATGAGAAACTATACTGAGCCCAATGTCACAGGTGGGGAAACTAAGGCACAGTGCGTTATAATTCCTAACTATACTGCAAATCGTCTTCCTTAAATAGAAGTGAAAAATGTAAACACCAAATTTTAAGTCACATAATTCTTCAGGAATAATTCTTAACTGTACATATATTGGTCTCCTAGATGAAGAGCTTCAACTGAATTGAGAGTTTCAAACAACCAAAGCACATGGCTTCTTTGTATCATGTAGACAAACATATATGTAAGATTTAGACCCCTACTTGGCACTGTAAAATCACTTCTTTTATGTTGGATAAGGTAAAACTTTCTAAAATGTGTTTAAGAAAATACTTTTCTGGGATAGTAATAAGTGCCACATGAAAAAAGGAATCTGTTATCAAAGGATATGCTTAGGGAAACAAAATTAAACAGCTCTCTTCTCTACGACTTTAGACTTTTTCCATGTGCGTGTGTATGTTTTAGTTACCACAGCTGCATAACAAGCAATCCCAAACTCAGTCACATTGAACAACAACCATTTGATCATCCTCATGGGTTTGTGGGTTAGGAATGGAGACAGAGCAGAGCAGGAGTGGCTGTCTCTGCTCCATGATGGGTGAGGGTTGGCAGGAAGACTAGGGATTTAGGGGGACTCAGGGGCTGGAGGCTGGAGTGATCTGAAGGTTCCTGGACTCCTCATGTGTGGGACCTGGGCTTGGAGGAGTCAAGACTAGAATGGTCACCAGGAGCACCTATGAATCCACATTTGCTTGCCTACAGACATGTCACATCCCACCCAGATGCAAGAGGAGGTGACATAAATGCTATCACTCAATGGAAGGAGTGTCACATTCACTCCTCAGAAAAGCACATGGGAGAGAAGCTATCATTGTGGCTGTATCTGGAAAATAAAACATGACCCTACATAGACGAAAAACCGTGTTTTCTTTGTTGTACTTGATATGGGCCCATCTCCCTCCTGAGAGCAGCATCCTGCAGGTTTCACTCCCAAAGAAACCAAGTAAAGAAATACTGGCCTGGTGTGCATAGAAAGTGAGGGCAGGGCAGCACATGGATCCCTAGGTGAGCCCTCCTTTCACAGGTGAGAACACACAGCTGTGGAGTTTGGCCTTCTGCACCAGATCTAAGGAGAAGTCGTGGTGGTCAAATCCAGACCATCTTTCCCATCCTCCCTTTCTGAAGGGCTGACAGCACAGCATGCAGGAGGATCTGATCTGGGGTTTGCACCTCTGCTCTTCTACTTGTTCACGGCAGACAGAGTTGGGGGAGATCATAAGATCTCAAGTGATCTCTTTTGCCCAGGATGGGCATGACCTCTACAGGATTTCTGACAGGTGATAACTCAATTTTTGAGCAATTATTCTCAGGATGAGTAAAGTCTTTTTAAAAAAGAATTATGGTGGTAAATTACGTAAAGTAAAATGTACCATTTTGACCATTTTTAAATGTATGGTTCATTGGTATAAGCACATTCACATGATTGTGCCACCACCACACCATCCATCTCTAGAACTCTTTTCTCTTCTCAAACTGAAACTCTGTACTCATCAAGCATTAACTCGCTATTCCGCCCCCCAACCAGCCCCTGGCAACCACCATTCTACTTTCCGTCTCTATGAATTTGACTAATCTAGGTACCTCATATGAGTGGAATCATATGGTATTAATCCTTTTGTGACTGGCATATTTCACTTTAGCATACTGTTTTCGAGGTTCGTCTATGTTGTAGCATGTGTCAGAATTTCCCTCCTTTTTCAAGGCTGGGTAATATTTCATTGTATTGATTTACCACATTTTGCTTATTCATTCATCCATCAATGGACACTTTGGTTGTTTCCACCTTTCGGCTATTTCGAATAATGTTGCTGTGAACATGGGTATGCAAATAATTTGTCAAGACCATGCTTTCAATTCTTTTGGATATATACCCTGAAGTGGTATTGCCGGATCATATCATAACTCTGTTTTTAATTTTTTGAGGAAATGCCATACTGTTTTCCACAGTGGCTGCACTTTTTACATTTCCACCAAGAATTCCTATTTCTCCACACACTCTCCAACACTTGTTATTTTCTGTTTTTGTTTGTTTGTTTATAATAACCATCCTAATGGTGTAAAGTGGTATCTCATTGTAATTTTGATTTGCATTTCCCTAGTGATTAGTGATGTTGAGCATCTTTTTGTGTGTTTATTAGCCATTTGTATATCTTCTTTGGAGAAATATCTATTTGAGTTTTTTGCCCATTTTTTAATCATATTATTTAGGGTTTTTGTTGTTGTTGAATTGTAGG